GTTAAACTGTGTGTCCATTTACATCTCACTTCTGTACTTGCCCGTTATTTATAGTTTCACCTGCCACGTTAGAGTAGTGACCTATGGCAATCTGGAAATCTTAAATGAAAAAAATCCAGAAATAAAAAATGTGTAAGTTTTATGCTGTGACCATTCTGATTAACATGCTACATTTTACATTGTTCCACTCAGTCTCACTTAGGACATGCAAAGTATGTTTGCTAAACATATCCACCCTTTCCTTAGTCACTTAGCAGTGATCTTGTTGAGCAAATCACTTCTCATGGTGTCACAATGTTTGTGCTCAAGTAATACTTCATTTCACTTCATCATGGTTCCAAAAGTACTTGTTTTAAGTAAGAAGTGAATGTTTCCCACTTGATAAAGAAACAAAAAAATAAAACTAGCCTGTAGTTGGAGGTTGCTGAGCTTGATGATCAGTTATTTCTGTTAATCTCTTACTATGCCTAGTTTATAAATTAAACTATATCATTAGTGTATATGTACAGGAAAAACTATAGTAAATGTAGAGTGTGGTACTATCTGTGGTTTGATGTATTGCCCATGGGTAACTGGGGACACTACAGTGGTTTATGATCCAGTTTGATGAACATCACTCTAAGAAACAGGAAGGTTCACAGAAGCATGGTTTCAAAAGAAGGCTTCAAATGTATGGTTCACAAATCCCTTCACCCTTTCTTTTGAATTTCAAAACACTGCAAAACAGAAAGTCTTGCCTATTTTCTGATCCTTGCATGTACAGTTCACATGGTGTGTTGTCTGATAATAAACAAACTGACCAGCTGGGCTTACTGACAAGTAGAATTATGAAATTTTTAGTCAGGACCATGGTGCCCTTTGGAAAGAAGGATCATATGTCTTCAATGTCTTTTCAATGAGCACCAATGAGCAACTTCTTATAAAGGGCCCCATTACACATTATAGCCCAGAAGTGAGCAAGCATACTGCCTCGGGGCTGTTGAAATGAGAACAGGATGCCTTCCTGCCTTTTCAGTCATGCAGATTTGAAACTCACACCATCAATCAATGCCACCATCATCACCCTCAAGAAAAGACTCTATGGTCAAGTCTGCTCTGTGTGCTTTTGTGAACAACTAAAATCCTTATGCTGGAAAGGAACATAAAGATATTTTGGTCTACCTCTCTCCTTTCGAAGAGGACAGCTGACCTAACCTTTCAGGTCCATTGCTATCTGCTTCTGTGACACAACAAGCATCTCTTCCCAGGGGCCCTTCCCTGTGTATGACACAAGCTGTAGACATTCCTACCATCACAAGTTCAATCACATTCTTTTTCCTATTTCAAGTAGCTCTTGCCCTGTCTGTGTAGTTCTCACTTTCCCTTCTAAATTACATCTCTTCTAAGATGTAACTCAATAACCCCATCCCAGCCTTTTCTCCTTCCCTGAAATTATTATTACACTACATTATCAATGTAATCACTTGCCTTTAGTAGTTGTTTAATAGATAATTAATGTATATTTATAAGCTGACTTTCTAATATCGAAAAGAAAAACATAAGTAAGGAACTATGGGATTTATTGTTATATGAGTTTTCCTTACAAGATACATATCAAAGATATCATAGAAAAGTTTGTCATTTTGTCATATTTATATCCTTTAATAATTTAAGAAATTAGTTTTAAGCTATTTATCTCAACATTATGAGACACAGTAACTACAATGATGGCAGATTTTTCTAAAATATATCATTTAGTAGATGACTATTTTAGGCAATTAAATTCTTACATGTATTAGATAAAACCAACTGGGGTCTTTCTCCATAGGAAGACGCTATAGCTGCTCTTATAAAAATAGGCCCTCTGGTTTGACACACAGTTCACTGAAAGAGCTCTGTATTGGCTACTGCCTTAGAAGATTCTCATTTATTCATTCATTCACTCATCTGTACTCTTTCTTTTTCTTCTTCTTCTTCTGGCCCTTTCCCTTTCCCTCTCCCTTTCCTCTTCCCACCTTCTCTCTGTCTTCTTCCCTCTCTCTCTCTCTCTCTCTCTCTCTCTCTCTCTCTCTCACACACACACACACACACACACACACACACACACACACTTCTCTCTTCCTTCTCATTCTCCCCTTTGGTTATTTATTGTTGAAATGGGATCATTGAACTTTATAACTTGGGAAGATGAGGAAATTTTATCAAGAAAAGGTAAAATGAATCAAAAATCTCCATTATCCAAAGATAAAGATGGCTGTAACACGATACCACCTACCTCTTCAGTTTCATTTCTCCTTCCCCAAGCTTCCTGTCTCCCACCAGATCCCTCTGTCTCACCACCAAGAAACTTCCCCAGCTCCTCCATACCAAAGTGTCTTCCTGCCATTAACCAATTCCCCAGTGCTATTTCATCTTAATCCCACTACTTCTCTTATCCTATTTGGCAATTTCATTGTGATTCCGGTTTTACTCTTACCTCATACCACACCTATCCAAACCACACACCTCCTTTTTTTTTTTTTTAAAACACTTCCACAACTGTTAGCAAAATTATATATGATACCAAAGCTAGTGACCAAGACTGTTACTCAGAGTCCTATTTTCTCCTTCTAGAAGTATGGAAGCCTTTCTACCTCCTGCATATATGATGTCTATTGTACTAAAAAAGAAAAGTTTTTCTTAAGCAGGCAGGTAATTCTTCAACACACATGGCCAACAAATAATTATGTCTATAAATTAAGTATTGGTCATAGTGCAGCCTATGAACTTGTAAATGTTAAACATCACTTTTTACCCAAACTATTAATATTCTAGTTAGATAAGAAGCGGAAATGTTGATGAAGGTGAACTTGCCTTTCTTGTTCTTGTCAAAGTGCTGAGGGGAAAATTAAGATGACTGAAAAGGGAGAATGGATGAAGAAGATACCAGAAAAGATCCAAATAAATCAAAACTAAGTGCAGAGTATAATATTCAACATATGTGTTCTGGAGGTCAAGCCCACAACGAGGCTTTGCCCAATCACTATCAGAGAAATGATTTTGCTACTGCTTAAATCTGCTCAGTTTCTTCATCTTGTCAATCACAGAGTTACCAAGTGTATATTCACAAAAACACTTAGGGTACACAGTAAAGACTATATAAACTTGCATTCAATAAACCCGTACTTTGAAATTGTCTGAATAATTATATGTGTCTTTTATAAGTAATATCAGGACTTACAGACATGGTGATGGTCTCCAGCCATACCACATGCCCTCTTCATCCCCAGTCTCTACTAGTGCCTACATAATTCATTCCTAGTCCTTCACTTTGGGACTTGACAGAAATATACTCTTGAAACGTGTTTCCACAATGGTCTTCACTGTGGCAGCTACCACCGTTAGTGAGACATGGTCTTTCACAGAAGTTCCTGTTTGCCTACACAAATTCTACCTGTAACCCAAGACTGGACTCAGGGTGGGGAACAGGCCACCTATCATAGTGAAAATAAAATACAGGAAACATATACTGGACCAGCTGTGTCTTTTTGAGATTTGGCTCTTGGTGTAAGTAAAACTCAGAGCTGTCCTAACTGACTGCCCTAAATTCTTTTCCTTTTCTTTCTTAATTTTACCCCAATTGAGCTCTCAGTTAAAGAAAAATTGGTTACTCCCAGGATCATCAAAAAACTACCACTTAGCAAAATCTAGTACCACATGATAGCTCAAGTGACCTCCTGGGAGTATTAACACTGCAAATGCTGGTTAAGCATCACTGACCTGAGTATCTAAAACTTGAATTGCTCCAAAATCTGTAACACTGTGAGTGCCAAGACATAAAACATTTGAAATACATCCCATCCCAAGCATTTGGGGTCATGATACTCAACCTGCATTCCCATTCCTTGGCTGCTCTCTTCTCTTCCTTCTAGGCTACCTTCACCTCCTGTTGGTTCCAAATCCTCCTGCTGGTGCTTCTTGGTTGGCTGCTTCAAACACTGGAGTGATACGAGCAAGATTCCTTCTTTGGTCCTCTTTGACATTCACACTCACTTGCATGGTGAGCTCCTGAGGTCTTGTGCTTTAAAGGATAGTTTCCTTCCCACAAAGACTGATGAGTGCACAGTAGCTCAGAACAAAATCCTGAATTCCTGATTCCTATATCCAACTATCTATTCAATAGGATTAGCACTCCGTGTGGGTGTCTGCCAGGATCTTAAATTTGGCCTGTCCAAAACAAAACTCCTGTTCCCCTCTCCACATTTCCTCCTCTTCAATATTCCCCATTTCAGTTAACAACATCCTCCTTGTCTCATTTTCATCAGCCAATCCTACCTGTAAAATATATCCAAGATCTGATCTGTCACCTCCCCCTGCTTTCTGGACTGTGTGATGTCTCGAAAAATATTTGTCGCAGGGCAGCATTTTCTTAAAAGAACAGCCAGAGATGCCACTAAAATAGAAGTCAGATCATATCACACCCTTGTTCAAAACCATCTCAGAGAAGCCAGAGTTCTTATGATTACCAGGCCTGACATAATCCAAGTGCACTACCCTTTTCCCTTAGAGCTCTCTGGCCTGGCCTCTGCTGCTGTCCTCCCCACAACCTCTACTACACCCACACCAGCCTCTGCTACACAGGGTTCCTGTGATACCTTCAACCTTCTACCTGGATCCCTTTTCCAGATCCCAAGCAGTTCACTCCTGCTCTGCCTTCATTCTCTTCTCAAAAACCATCTTTGAGTTGTCACTCGCATGCATTTTTATATCACAAACTATACTTGCTTAGTGGGTTGTATAATTTATTTTCTGTATAGAACTATTGTTGATTTATATCGTTTACTTATTTTGTTTAGAATTCTTATTTTTGTCTTCTCCTATTAAGAGTATGAACTCCATGTGGGGATTTATGGGGGGGGGAGGGATTAATGTCTGATCTTCTTCCCTGCTATATTCTGGTGGTTTAGTAAGTACCTTGCACACAGTAGATAATAAAACTTTGCTGAAGGGATGACCATAATGGCTCACTTGGTTCCTCTTACCTAAGACAGTCATCACAGTCTTCATTAGTTTCATGGGTGCCCTCCGGCGGCTGATGGACCCACTTGTATGTGGGGACAAGACATTGGTCTTCCTCTTGACATACATGTAGATCCGCAGGTATACTACCACCATGATGAAGAAGGCCATGAGGTTGGACACAGTCCAGAAAATGAGGTAACTCCTGCTGTAAATGGGGGCCAGGGAAGAGCAGGCAGAGATGTTGCAGACACAATTCCAGCCCAGTGTGGGGACCGCCCCCATGAAGATGGCGATGGCCCACACAAACAGAATGAGCAATGTCACTCTCTTTTTGGTCAAGTTGCTGTGGACCCGCATCCTCATGATTGACATGTGTCTCTCCACAGCAATAACCAGCAAATTCGTCAGGGAGGCAGTCAAGCTTGTGTCCAGAAGCCCCTGGCGGAGAAACCAGCGGTTGACAGTCAAAGTTTTTGAAACTGGGCCAGTGTTAAACATCAGGAATACATAGGCAATTCCAGCAAAGAAATCTGCAGCGGCTAAGTTAGCCAACAGGTAGTAGAAGGGGAAATGAAATTTTCTGTTTTTGATCACAGCTGCGATGACCAGAGAATTGGAAAAAAAAATGAACAGGCAGAAAAATGTTCCAACACACAAAACAATCACAAGCTTTGTTCCTGTCCACTCATCTGCAGTGTCAGTGTTGCTCCTATTATAGAAAAAGTCCATGTGTTTATCATAGTGACACTCATTCATTGTGGAGAAGAGCTGAACACCCTAGAAAGAAATGTAGACAAGAAATAAATATGGCTCTTAGTGAAATCAGTCACTTAATTAGCATTGTTGGGCCCCTACTTCTGGCTCTTACTAATCTCTCAGTATGGATGCCCTTATTCCAATACATCACCCCAGACCTCCTATCATGGCAATGAGTTTGCACGTTAAAAATCTGTTTGTGTCCCAAAATAAGCCATAATTTCATTAGGGGAGGGTCTGCGTCTCTTTGTTCATCATTAAAAATAACCTCAGGATCCAGTCGTCTGCCTGGCTCATGAGCGATCATTGTTGAATGGCTGGACTAACTGATGAATGGATGATGGTGGCAGCATATATCTCAAATGTCCCGAGTCCTACAATATTAACTCTGCACTGGTAACAATTACAATACAGCACAAAATCATTAATGAGTGCTTTCTTCTGGTGGTTTTTCAGTTAACTTTTAAAAGATGAACTAGATGTGGTGGCATGTGCCTGTAATGCTCGCTAGTCAGGAAGCAGAGATCAGGAGGATCATGGTTCACAAGACAAAAGGTTCACAAGACCCAGTTCAATGGAAAGAAGTTGGATGAGACAGTGCATGGTTGTTATCCTAGCTTCCATGGAGAATGTGAAATCAGAGCATCATGGTCCAGGTATCCACATGGACAAAAGGCAAGATCCTATCTCAAAAATAACCAAGGAAGAAAAGTTTGGAGGTATGGTTCCACAGTAGAGTTCCTACCTAAGAAGTGCAAGGCCCTGAATTCAAACACCAGTACCACCAAAAATAATCATGACAATCTGCGTTTTTTATCTTGTGCATACTTTACATAGCTAAGATGTTTTTGAGTTTAAATACTATGTCATCCTCAACTGATTATTAAAAATATCAAGATTAATATGTTACTAGGACATATGTTAAAATTCATGTTAAAATACCATAATTTTTTAATTTTTTAAAAGAAACGTTTTTAGTTTTGGCCTTTACATTTGGTTAACTTGGTGATTATACAGTGCACTGAAACCTTAATGATTTTTCCTTCAAAAATTGTCAAACTCAGGAAGTGGTGCTGTGGCTCAAAGTAGTAGAGCACTAGGCTGAAGAGCTCAGAGACAGTACCCAGGTCCAGAGTTCAAGCACCACAACCAAACCCTCAAAAAAATCTTCAAATTCAACTTTTCCTCATCAAAGCCAAGGTAGTTCATTCTTGCACATTTTTTTGCAAAATTTTTTATGAGACTAGGAAGTTTTTTTGTCTTAAAATCATATGTCACAGGACAATTATGATTAGCCATAACTTTTCCCTGACACTAGATTCTACTTTTAGGAAAAACAGGCAACGAGATCAACAAATTAGGAATTGGTTAAAACACACACACACACACACACACACACACACACACACACACAGCAAATGAAAATCACATTTACAGTGGTTGTGGTAATATAAGGAAAAGTACATCCTTTCTTTAATTACAAATAATTGCATGCATTCATATACAATGATACATATATAAAAGAAGTATATGTGTGTTGACTATTTTTAAGGTATAGGAAAAGGTAATGAAAACAATCCCAAATGTAGAACTTAAGAATTAAGTTGGTAGAATTAAGAGTGGTAGAACTTTTTGGCACAAAAATAAGCCCAACACTCATTGGAATAGAAGACCCAGAAATAATGCACATGAATAATGCTCAACATCTCTGGCCATAAAGGAAATGTAATACAAAACAACACTGTGACTCCATCTCACCTCTGAATGAATGGCCATTTTCAAGACTATAAACACAGAGTTTGGGTGGGGAAGAACCCTAATATACTATTAGTGGAAATGTAAACTGATACATACACTTTGGAAAGAAGTTTGGAGATTCCTCAAAATACTAAACATAGAACTACTTTATGATCCAGCAATACATTTATCCAAAAGATTGTAAGTCAGGATTCAGTAAAGCCACTTGAACAATCATGTTCACTGCTGCACTATTTACCATAACAAAGGTGTGGAAAGTGCCTAGATGATCCTCAATGGACAATGGAACAAGAAAATGTGATATATAAACACAATGGAATTTTGCTCATCCATTAGGAAGAACATCCATTAGGAAGAAAGTATGTTAAGTAGTTAAATGAAGTCAGGCTCAGAGACATAAAAGATGTATATTTTCTTTCATTTGTGGAAGTTAGATCTAATTTATAAATAGATATGTCAACATATACAGTGTCATATGCACATGTACACAAACATATTAACTGAACTATGGTATATGAAGAACAATTTACAATCTAACACCATGAATACCAAGAAGCTGGTATTTGAGGAGGTCAAAGGGAGGAGGAAGATAGAGGAATGTAGAAAGGAAGGAGCGAGAATGCAGTCATAATACTCAATGTGCATCCTATCAAATTAGGAAAATAAAGGAGATAGGTTGGGAGGGATGGGGGAGAAAGGGCTAACATCAACCAAGATGCATTGTACCTATAAAGTGACATGTTGAATTGTAACCCATTTGTACAACTACTTAAAGATAATAAAAATGTAATTGAAAAATCATTCTTTCCAATACAATAATGTCATTTGCAGGGAAATGGATGGAACTAGAACAAATCTTGTTAACTGAGGTAAGCCAAGCTCACAGAGAGAAACAACACATGTTTGATATGTGAGAATTAGATCTAAAATGCACTGAAACATGATAAATTATACATGATTCTAGATACACACAGTAAGACCAAAAGAGGATACTTTAAGGAAAGAAACAAAAATGCACAATGTCTAAGTGCCTCTTCATATTTATATAAAATAATATACATACTGAAACAGACTCTAAGATATGGAAACAAAAGACTCCCCCCCCCCTTTATTTTTAGTTGTTAGTTTTTGTCTTCTTTACCTTACAAATGGTGTATTTAAGAGTACCTCTTTGGAAGGATTGGGGGAGGGTACAGAACTTGAGGGAAAAAGGGTAAAAAAAAATGTAGCAGTGGAGCTCACTGGACACTAATGAAAGTGAACTATACAACTTGTGGTTGGAGATACCAGTAGGGATTGAGAACCGAAAACACCATACAACAGGAAATGTACTCATTACCTGACTCATAATTGTAATCCCTCTGTACATCACCTCTATAATAACAATAAAGTAAATTAATAAAAAAGTTCTTTCTGGTTCTTTTCTATTTCTTTTCCATGTTTTATATATTTAATAAATAAACACTCATTCAATTTAACCTATACAACCTTTCTCCTTGTATAATGTCTATGCCTACATCCTTTCTTTTATAGTTCTGAGAACTTGAATTTAATGTTGAAAGAAAAATCCTCAGAGATTTGCAGTATTTTGTTTCTCCTTATCAATACAAAGGCATGATAAAGTTTTCAGTGACAACAAAGATACAATTTTACTTAAAGTTCCACCTAAGTATAAACTTTCCCTGCAAACAACTGACCATATATATGATATAACTTTCATCAATTCTCTGGTCATCATCACCTCAGAGCTCCAAAGCTGAGTAACTGGATAGTTTGCATGAGTACTTCTTATTTTCTTTTCTTCTCTACCATGTGATCCTAAGCTTATTGGAATTAATCATATTTTCCTAGCTGGAAATCACCAAAAACTTTAGCAAGTTTAAAACAAATGACCAATTTATCATCTCTTGACTTCTCTCAAACACTAAATCATAATACTGGTATTTCAAAGAAATTGCTATTATCTTAGTATTGTGTAGAAACCCTCTCCTATAAGATACCTCCCCTGACTCAGAGTAACCTCCTTATTCTTCTTATCTGAAAGCTGTGGCAGCTTCTGCACAGCTGCCCAACGGGCTCATTAGATGGCCAGGTCACATAGCTCTACTACTTGAGAACTGTTCCCAGACCTTTAGGCTTTAATTCATTTACCAGGACTGGCCTCAGACCATAGACCACAATCCTTCTTCGTACACCTCATGAGTAGCTGTGATTACAGGCATACTCCACCACAGTCAGCTTCCTCACTTACTATTTTCTTGAAAGAGTTACTGAGTAGCTCCACTCTAGTGCATTTTACATGGATCATCTCCCTGAACCTTCTCAACACTAAGATAGTTACTATTACTACAAGGAAACTGAGGAACCTTTCAAAGTTTCCACTGCTGGGTATTGGAAAATTTTGTTCAGGCAATCCTGGCTCATAAACCACAAGTTTATCCAAAACAGTATGCTTTCTTTCTTAAGACAAATGAGATACCATACAGAATCTAGCCCTTACATTAATTACAGCATTCATAAAATAAAAATGATCTGATCAAATCAAAGATTGCCCATACTATTAGATAAAAATAGATGGGAATTCAATATAGCCTTTGGCATCTGTCTTTTTGTAATAGCCCCAGAAGATGAGCAATGACTTTCCTGAAAATATATGTTCAACTTCGATAAGAAGGACACAGGATGGTCAGTTTCAGGGCCATATTGACATGGCTCAGCTTTATTTCTGCCAGATCTCAAGCTGTTTGTTTGTTTACTTGTTTTTCATACTAAAGGTTAGCATTTGATAGGTCTGACCCAGAAACAAAAGATGCTAAACTTTGGAGCAATTACCACAACTTCAAACTTCAGTAATTTAAGACTTCATAAAATGAGGGTTCTGAAAGTCTATATGTGGAATTCAAATGAAAACTTCATGAGCAAAGCTTTCATTTAGACTCTCCCAAACTTACTTCTCTGAAAAAAAAAACTGTCCAGCCAGCCCAGAATGTGGAAACAATTATGAAAATTAAGACATTTGAAAACCACTCAAGCTGTTTTTATTTCTAGCTACATCTTCCAAGACAAGTGGCTGCCTGGCTCTTCAGCTGGTTTTTCCTAATGCTCCTTCTCCTCCCTCCCCCAGCCCAGGAGGAATCATAGCACATCAAAGAGAAGGTCAGTTGATGTGGTGCATATTTTCTTTTCCTGCAGTCCACAAATGTAGAACAAACTTCTTTTCTAGAAACCCTAATCACGTGGGAATTGGATGTGAGACAGTTGGT